AAATATAAATTTGTATTTGTATTTGATTTGATTTTCAAATCAAATATTCAAATATCAAATCGAATTGCGGAACCCTAGTTATAGGTATTAATTATTCAAAATTAGATTCTGAGATTTTCATAAAAATAGAAAGAAAAAATACACTTTATTTCATAAATAAGAATAAATATTCCTAAAAATTTATATAAATACAAATATAAATATTATTATTTATTTAAAATTATAAAATTTATTTATATTTAAGTATAAAAACAAACAAATATATTATATTTATCAAAAATTGATAAAATATATATATTTAATTTATTGTAAATCTATCATTATTTTAAAGTAAACATATTATTATTAAAAGTTAATATACGTTTTTTATAAAAAAATAGATTTTGATATTTATTACAGTTTTTTATTATTTAAATAGGCTATACATAATACTAATAACTTTAACTTTATTTGATTTTTTGTAATTGAAATATATTAATAATAGATAAGCATAATTTTGCTTAAATTCTTATAATAATTTAATATCAGTTTCTTATAGATTACATCTTAAATAAATTATCTTAATATAAATTTTTAATACTAAAATTCTAACATAATTATAAAAATTTAATGTATATGCTTTATATTATAAAATAAATAAATTTCCTAATATTATTAATATTTGATAAAATAATCATAATATGTTTTTGAAAAATTGAAAAATTGTTTAATTATTTTAATATATCCTAAAATAATATATTTTTTATAAAAAAATACTTATAAATTATAGCTTATATAATAAATAATTACATATATAACATAATATAAAACAATTTTTTAATAATAATAAAGTATTTATTTAAAATATAAAATAATAAAAAAAGCAATTAGAACTTTAATTAAAAAAAAAATCTTATAATTTAAAGAATTATAAAATATTTCTTTTATATAAATAATCTATATATAATAATATATCAAATAAAATTTAGGGATTTAGATAATTATCTATGAAATTCAAAAAATGAAAAATTATATCAAAGTTTATAAAAATACTTTAATAAAAATTAGCAAAATTAAAAGATTTAAATGTTTAATTGAATCCAAAATAAATCTAATTAAGCAATTTTAAACATATTTAATTTGTATAATAAATCAGTTATAACTAATATGTTTGCTATATTAAATATATTAATTATATTAATTATATTGATCAATTTTTTTGAAAATATATTAATTATTTATTATAATACATATATTTTATTAGTTTATTAATTAATAGTACTCAAATTGTTAATATATTTTAAATAGCTAACAATAAGTAATAATAAAATATAAGTATTATAATAAAAGAAAATAACTAAGTAAGAATCATATAAACTTTTTAAAGTTATCAAAGTAAATAATTATGAAAAATAGAGTTAAAAAAAAATACTATATATTGTAATTTTTATTAACTTCTAGTTTGTATAAATTTATTAATATTAACTTTTGAATTAATTTGAAAAATTAAATTATTTTCATTAGCATTAAATTAAGATCTTTTATTTTCTTAAACAAAATTTATTATTATAAAAGTTTTTAACTGTATGTTTATTATTAATATGTTTATTTTTTTATTCATTAATTTCATATAACTTTTATTATATTTTTAAATTTACAAAAAATTTATTATATATTTTAGTTTAACGATTACGTTCAACTCAATTGCGGATATCGGACTTACAATTAATGTTCTTTTTGATTTCGTTATAGATATTTATAATATTTAAGAAAAAAATAATTAGTCGGATTAGCAGTTACTAAGCAATATATGTTATTTTGAAATGATTCTTTTGAATCTACTCGTGTCGCCTAGTATTTTTGCTGCGTTTCATTAAATCACGACGGTCAAGATTTTGTCTTGATTTTTCTTCGATATATATTGGCGAAGAAAATATCTTTATAATCGGTACTATAAAGATCAAATTACGACTGCCAAGGTATTATATATCAAAGTTTCTTGGCTTACAAGTATAAAGATAATAAATCTCTATTGTTATTAATAATAACATCTGATCATACCTAATTGTAGCACGAGCTCTTGAGTCTTGCAACACTAGCTGTTGACCGCTGCTAGCACTGGCAGCAAACATCCTTATAAGAACACTCCATCCATCTGTCCCACACTTGTATCCACCAATTCTACAACAGCTTCTCCCAATTTTTTTCTTTTTCAAGCAAACGCTTTTTACAACACAGCGTATTGCTGTAATCATTTTTTTTTTTTTTTTGTCACAAAGGTAAGTTACTTACAAACGGTTTTTCTAAAGCAGCATTTTTGCTTTTTAATTTGTATATATAGCCTTTTCTTGTCTGGTCTGTTTATGATGTAATAATCATCGCGTAATAGAATTTTATTAAAACAAAAATTACAATGAAAAAATAACTTTTTTAAAAAAATTGTTCTACAATAATAGGTTTTTTCTATCTTCTCTAATATAACATATAAATAGCCATGGAGGACGAAGTTGCCGCTGTATGTATAAATCTTTTTTATTCTTATAAAATACAAATACTTTAATAACCATCTGTATAGTTATTACTTTATCACTCTGATACAAACCTTTTAATTAGATATAAAGCTTTTTTAGATTGAATTATTAAATAACTTGCAACTAATTTTTCATCTCATTACAAAATAGCTTGTCATTGACAATGGTTCCGGTATGTGCAAAGCCGGTTTCGCTGGAGACGACGCACCGCGCGCTGTAAGTGAAATTTATGTTTTTCTTGCATTAATTTTCGGATCGATGAATCTGATAGATTATTTCTGGAGAATAATTCCGTTGAATTTTATTTTATTTTTATTTTTATTTTTATTTTTTTTTTTGTTGTGAACCATATTATTTAAAAATGAATTAATTTGATTTTAAGCATATATGGAAATACATTGTATTAATTTTAATCATTATTGTATAAATTAGGTTTTCCCATCCATTGTTGGTCGCCCTCGTCATCAAGGTGTAATGGTCGGAATGGGTCAAAAAGATTCATACGTAGGCGATGAAGCCCAGTCTAAGCGTGGTATTCTTACGCTTAAATATCCAATTGAGCACGGCATCGTAACGAATTGGGATGACATGGAAAAAATCTGGCATCATACGTTTTACAATGAACTTCGTGTTGCTCCCGAGGAACATCCCGTGCTTTTGACCGAAGCACCTCTTAATCCAAAATCAAATCGTGAAAAAATGACCCAGATTATGTTTGAAACTTTTAATGCACCTGCTTTCTATGTTGCAATTCAAGTCGGTTATCCATCAATTAAAGCTCTTTTTTTGTTGTTGCATCTCCAATTTAAGTATGATAGTTCAATTTAAAAATATACTTGTCTATTCCATAGGCTGTCCTTTCATTGTATGCTTCTGGTCGTACTACTGGTATTGTCCTTGATTCCGGTGATGGTGTCACCCATACTGTTCCAATCTACGAAGGTTATGCTCTCCCTCACGCCATTCTTCGACTGGATTTGGCTGGTCGTGATTTAACCAATTACCTGATGATCATTCTAATGGAAAGGGGTTATTCATTTTCAACCACCGCTGAACGTGAAATTGTTCGTGATATCAAAGAAAAACTCTGTTACGTTGCTTTAGATTTCGAACAAGAAATGCAAACCGCTGCTCAATCATCATCATTGGAAAAATCATATGAATTGCCTGATGGACAAGTCATTACTATTGGTAACGAACGGTTTGTATTTGTTTTTGTATTACTTTAATAAGTGTTTATAAATATGATGAAAAATACGTTATCAAAATGTTTATTTTATAAATATTTTAATATACCTGTGTTTCTAATTCTAGTTTCCGTGCTCCAGAGGCTCTTTTCCAGCCTTCATTTTTGGGTCTTGAAGCCGCTGGTATTCACGAAACTACATACAATTCTATTATGAAATGCGATGTTGATATTCGTAAAGATCTTTACGGTAACATTGTTCTTTCTGGGTAAGTTTTAGTTTTATATAGAATATGTACTTATGCATCCTCCTTTTTGTATACAAGATTCTATCATTGATTTTTATTTAATATTTTGTAGAGGTACTACTATGTATGCAGGAATTGCAGATCGTATGCAGAAGGAAATTACAGCGTTGGCACCTTCTAGTAAGTTTTTTTTTTTTTAATGCAAACATTTAAAATAAGTTTATTTTATCTAAAATTAATAATTTCGCCATTGAATTAAAATTTAGGCATGAAAATCAAGGTATTTATCATTTTGTTGTAAAAATTTATTTTGTAAGTTTAATATACTAATTTTTTTTTTCTACAAAAAAAAACAATAACTATACATTACAGATTGTCGCCCCCCCAGAACGCAAATATTCTGTCTGGATTGGAGGGTCTATCTTAGCTTCGGTATGTATGCTTTTAGTGCGTATTTTATATTTTATTCAAAATTAAATATTAATGTATAACTATATATAAAAATATATATGATAGCTTTCCACTTTCCAACAAATGTGGATTAGTAAACAAGAATACGACGAATCTGGTCCCTCAATTGTTCATCGCAAGTGTTTCTAAATAAATTAATAACTTTATTATTTGTCATGATGGTCGAGTAAGGCTTTTGGAATTTTATTTTTATTGCGATAATTTTTTTATATGAAATTTTGTGATTAGTCCAAAGGATAACCAATAAAAGGGTATTTATTGTAAAATAACTTGTAGTTTCCGACTTCAGACCAAATCCTCTTCGTAGTATTCTTCACATTCATAAAAATAAATTACTTTATTATTACTATTATTATTTCATTTCATATTAAAATGTTTGCGTAATTTTATTAATTATAATGAACTTTGCTTTATCTTGAACGAAATAATCCTTTGTTAAATTAGAATTTTATCAATAATAAAAGAAAAAATTATTTATATTATTAAATCCAAAAAATTTATTTTTTATTTCATTCATATAAGTAGTAGTTACATCATAATTTGTCAAAATAAAATTAATTTCAATAATAATAATAATTAAATCGCAATTAAGGATAATGTTATAATCTAATTTTAGGTTTTTCTTTCAACAGATCGTACGGTAGGATGCATTTGTAATCCTATAATTTCTGGATTCAAATTTATAGGACGCAACTTTCTCAAAAGAATTATTCTAATGGTAGCATAAATCAAGATTACAACACCAAATGCCATAGGTATTAACCAGAATATTGGACTAAGATTATAATTTGTTTGAAATGCAACGTTAAATGGTGGGATATAAACAACGCACATGCCCAATATTACACCAAAAGCTAACCCAAGGAAATTACGGGGATTTGAGAAGATGAATTTACCAAATGGGAACCGAAATCGAGCTTTGCAAGCGAATAGATTGAACATCTGTTGAATCAAGATGGACAAATATACAATTGATTGTGCTTCACCCAATGCTTGCAATTGTTGTTCCATAGAAATCACTTCATTATGAACATTCGTATAAGGTATTGCGTTCTTTGTAAAATATTTTCCTTCAGATACTCCATGTTGCATTTTTCGTGCATCATATGGAGTGATACGATGGTGATTTAAAACTACGAAATATGCAACCAATGCGCCAATTAATTCAATAACGCCAATTTCCAAGTATGACCATCTGAGAAGCGTTGCATCAACCAACACTTCACCTTCAGAACCCTCAAATAATTCAGGCCACCAGGTTGATGTAAAAGGTTTTTTCATTGAATGCATAAATTGTGAAACTTTTGAAGGAGTTACAGGATGACCAGTCTCCGGATCGGTGATAGTTGGAGTTCGATTAAGAGCATGGCGACGTATACGTTCTATTGAAGTAGCAGTAACGGGTTTTCTAGGAGGTAATTTCATTAGACCTGTATCGCTTTCTGGTTTGTCCCAGGCGAATGAAAGAGCTAAAAATAATTCAAATCCTAAGTCTGTCAACAATATTAGAATTGGTGTCAAAGGTAATGGGATAGGAACAACAACAAATAGTAACGAAACCACAACTTGTGGCGTTGAATGAGTAATAGTGTATTGAATAGACTTTCTAAGGTTCGCAAAAATGAGACGTCCTTCTTCAATGCCCTTCACCGTAGAGGCAAAGTTATCATCCATTAAAATCATAGCGGCCGCCTCCTTAGAAACATCAGATCCAGATTGATTCATAGCGATCCCTAAATCTGCTTTTTTTAAAGCGGGTGAATCATTTACACCATCACCAGTTACTCCTACGATATGACCAATAGATTGTGCACGTTTGACAATTTCAAGCTTATGACGAGGAGAAGTACGCGCAAAAATAATTTCACTTTTAGAAAAGATATTATCCCAATCATGATTGCTTAAGGAATCTATCTGTTCACCATGAATAACAATAGCGTTGTATTCATCTTCACGGATTGATTCAATAGATCGACCAGTTTTTTTAGCAATAAGTTCTTTGGTATCTGATAATACTAAATTAATTTTGCGTCCAATAGCCTCAGCGGTTAAAGGATGATCACCAGTTACCATCATTACCCGAATACCGGCAGTACGACAACGACCAATGGCTTCACGAACTCCATGCTTTGGAGGATCTTCTAATGAAGCTAATCCAACAAAACAATAATCACCTATTGGGTAATTTTTATCCTCTTTTTTGAATTCAAAACCTTCATGATATTTATCAGCTGGTAACAATAATTGTGCAAAAGCCAAAACTCGATGTCCTTTTGAAGCCATAAATTCATAAATCTCGTCATATTTCTTTTTATGTTCGTCAGTCAAAGGAATTGCATTCTCTTCTGACAATATTGTTGTACAAAGTCTAAGTACTCGTTCAGGTGCACCTTTGATATACAAAGTTAGATCGCCATTGTTATGTTTCTTCTTATGAATTGTGAGTGCCCATTTTGTTTCAGAGTTGAAAGGAATTTCGAAAACTTTTGGGTATTTCCTAATAAGTTCATCATAATCATCTACATTTTGAGCAGCGAAGCGTATTAACCCTGTTTCGGTAGCATCACCAAGGATTGAACGTTCAGCGAATGGAATGTCGGTACGATCAAATTTAGCACGGGAGCATAATGAAGAAATATGAATAATTTCTTGAATACCAGGTGCGTTTGGATCGAATGGAGTATTTTCGGATTGCATGTTTCGAAATGCCGAATACATATTTAAAGAAGACCAAATAAAAGTTACAGTCATTTGGTTTCTAGTTAAAGTACCGGTTTTGTCTGTAGCCAAAAGAGTAATTGCTCCAAGTGTCTCAACACCTTGAAGATCTTTTACAAGAACATTTTGAGCAGCCATTCTCTTTGCTGCTATAGTCAAAAGGACAGTTACAGTAGCTGGCAGCCCTTCAGGAACCCATGCAACAAGTATGGAAATGGCGAAACTAACGTTAAGAGCAACATTATCGTATACACTAAAACCAACTCCAAAAAAAATTAAAGCACAAATCACGGCAATCGTAGCTATTAATTTTACGAAATCATCAATTTCTTTTGCTAAAGGTGACTTGTTCTTTTCTTCTCCTGCAGTAAGACCGGCAATCTGACCCAACACAGTAGTATCGCCAGTTCTGATGACAATACCATAACCTTCACCCGATATAACTAGGGTACCATTAAAACAGATATTAGTAGCCTCTAGTGGATTCTTGTGAGTATTTGTCTTTATCCTTTCTTGTGGTTCTGATTCACCAGTAAGGGAGGAATTATCCACTTTCATATCAGTTGCGGCGAATACCAGTAAATCAGCGGGAACTTTATCTCCCATCTTTACAAAAACTATGTCACCTCGTACTAGATTAGATGCTTGGATTTGTATGAGTCTAGCATCTCTAAGGACATAACATTGTTGTGGGATCATATTCAAAAATGACTCTAAAATCGCGGCTGACTTTTGCAATTGATAAAATTCAATGAACGCGTTCAAAAAAGCCACACCAAAGAAAATAGCGCCAAGATAAGTCTGTGAAACAGAAATGAAATAATAATTAATATTTTACTATAAATTTGATTATTTAATTGAAAATTCTCAACAAAATTTTAATAAATAAATAACTAACACTGGATTGATTGTCTTCTTGATCAATAGCAAATAAAATGTACATTAGAACACCCGCAATCATTAATAATATATTGAATAAAGTCAATAAACATTCCAAGTATTTTACGAAGGGATGTTTCCTTTTGGGGGGCGTGAGGACATTATGACCGTATTGTTCCAATAAACCTTTAATTTGGGTCGTTTGCAACCCTCTAGATTCTGCAGGTTTGACAGTATTGACATCAACGTTATATCGTTCAGCGACTTCTTCGGGTGTATACAAATGTTCATTCTAAATTATCGAAAATGAATAGATTTAATAACAAGGATTGATTGATTGTCGAAATAAAGAATAAAAATAAATACTTACAATGTCTATATTTTTATTTGTAGTTTCGCTTGCCTTATTTTCGTTATCTTTAGGTATTGTTCTTGTAGTTGATTCTACATTGGGGGAATTAGGAACGACTTCATGATCTGGTTTTTCTTGCTCGGAGAATTGAATCTTTTGAGTATTCGATGTTGCAATAATTTCATTAGCCGACTTCTCCGAAATTTCAGGATTATCTTTTACTGGGGTTTTAGAATTTTCTGAAGGTTGAGTATTATCATTTGTAAGAGTTGTTGTTTGCTCGATAGATTGTACTACAGTAGGAGCATTAATAACCTGTTCTTTGACATCTTGTCGAAGCACTGGTTGTTCCTTGAATACGACAGTTTGGCCTGTGGGGATGTTCGACGATGTTTGTTTCTTGTCAACAAAAGTTGAACTTTTTTCGGAAATTTCGGAGTCTATAACGGTAACAGTTTCGATTTCATGTTCTATTGTTTCATCAACAGTTTCTATATTGGTTTCTTCGCCTGGAGTGCTTGAGATTTCTCTTACTTGACGAACATTGGGAACTGAAGTAGACTTCCCCGATTCGTCTGACATAATAATTTTATCTATTAAAAAGTATGCCTTATTATATTAATTTTTTTTTGTTGGTATATTTGAATATTATGACTTATTATATAATTTATAATAAACTAAAAAATATGATATATTAAAAATACATGAATGAAAGAATTGAAGAACGCAAAAAAAGGCGTTAGACTTCATAGTTAAGAGGAGGAATAAAAATATTTATATAATTCCTGAACGAATGAATCGAGTCTATTTCTTGCATCAATTTAACACGATTTTTGACATTTGATATTGTACAACAGGTAATTCGTTCTTTTAAATTTCCCGATCCCTACAGGGATAATTCACAACTAAAAATTCAATTACTTGGTATTTTGTCACTATTACGTATCCAAAACCTTTTTATTTATTTTATCGAAACTTTTGAATAACTGATAATTAAGGGGGGAAGGGAAATAAGTGCTATTAGCCAATCCGTTTATACAATTCATGATCTAAAAAAAAAAAACCAAAAATAAATTAAATAAATTGATAAATTGGAACAGGTTTAATTAGTTTAATGTTGTACGACGTTTAACGAATTATGTACCTAAATCCTAACTAATAAATCAAAGATTCATTAATATTGTCGAAGTAATATTATTTCCCTTACAAGTAACAGATTTAATCGTATTTTTTCCTTCTTGAATTAAGAATACATTTATAATTTATCAATCATAAAAGGGATACTTAATTATTAAAATGAAACTTTTAATAAATATATTCTTTAAAAGTTCTGAAAGTAAAAGTCAAAAAATCAGGTATAAATAAAAGAAAATTATCAATTTATTGATACAATGTGCATTTAAAAGGCAAAGAAACTCGTTTTAAATAAAAATAATAATTAATATATCAAAATACCGTGAAACGTTCATCTAAATTCTGGAGTCGGCTCAGTCAGTCGTTAGACCCTTTCATTCGACTCAGTCGTTTCGACTCTCATTTATACCGATATCCAATTATATTTTGTGTTACTATTGTCACATGTGCACGTGTGATTAATTTAATTTATTTTCATTTTTGATTATCTCGCATCACATGATTTAAGGTCAATAAAAATTTAAATACAAAAAAGCATTTATAAACACGTGGTTTTACTTATAAGCCCAGTTAACTCCGAATTATCAAAATTATGCTTCGGACGTACAACGGTTACCGTTCCCTAGTTGTATTTAATACTTAACAAAAATATAATTGAGATTTTTGCGTGACTCAGCCTGATACTATTACGTCACCTAATTATTAATGAAAGTAATGAAAAATTTTATTTTACATATTTTATATTTAATTACTAAAAATATTATTTAATATTTAATCCCATCTTTTATCCTTAATATAAATGAATATTATATATAACCTTTCCTATTGATCTATTATCTAAAAAAAAAAAAATAATAATAAAAATAATAATAAATTATCAATTTAATAATTAGATTTGAAAAAATAATATCTTAAGTTACTATCGTAATATTATTTTAGTAAGGCTAAATATAAATATTTTAATATTATTACAAAATATATTATATCAGAATTTACAATTAAAATATAATATTTAATAAAATATATATTTTTCTTATTCTACTAATAATATTATTAAATTTTTCTATAAATATTAAAATATAAAAATAAAAATCATTATAAAGGTAATAATAAATTTATTTATTTTAATTTAAAAAAATTAATAAAAAAATCTATAGAAATTAACATAAAAAAATCATTAATTTTTTAATATAAATTAAATAAAAGATTAAAAAAGTTTATTTTAATATTATATATTAAAATATAAAATTTATTTATTATAATATATATAATAGATGAAATATATTAAAAAATCTTTATATTATAATTAATATTTTATATAAAATATTATTTGATCTGAATTTAATCTATATATCTAAAAGTAGAATTGAGAAGTACAATATTAGTACAATGATTAGTACTGTATAGTCCTGAAAATAAGCACACTTTTTGCTATAGAGAAGCTTATTTTTGGATATAATTAAAAAATTAAAAAATTGTATCAAAAAATCAATGTTACGAAATTAAATATATGCTGTGCTTTATATATAAATGATTTGCAGCTGGTCGATTGTGTAGTATAACAAAAAAATAAGATGATACAATATGCAAATCATACACAAACACATAAATTATACAAACTGCGTCATATTTAATAGTTGGTTTCATTTTTTTATTCTAGTTTGATTCAAATAACACAAATGCTATAAAATAACAAATATAAGTAAGTTGTTAAACGTAAAACTTCACCTAGTCGTACTTACACTTAACAGATTATCCTAGGACATATTAATATATTAATATATTAATATATCCTAGGATAATCTGCTTATACTAGAATAATATGTCTTAGGACGTTATAATCTATTGATTAATATGTCTTAGGACGTTATAGTCTATTGATTAATATGTCTTAGAATGTTATAATCTATTGATTAATATGTCCTAAGACGTTATAGTCTATTGATTAATATGTTCTAAAGATAAGGGTTTGCTTCCCTCTCTATGACCTGTTGGTTAGTAATTATGGATGAACTGCACGCCTATTTGGTTGCCTTTTAAAATACTGAAATGGTGTAAAAAAGAGGTGACGGATGGCGCAGTGAATTTGCGATTAATTTTGGCTGGCTCTATGATATAACTCTGGTTGATCTTTTGGACATGTGATTTGAGGATCCAGCTTGGCATCATGATGGTGACTTGATAGTATTCTGGAACTACTGTGAAGCTGTCATAGAACTGTCATAGAACTGGCAGGGATCCAGAGAGGTTCTATTAGTTATTAAATGTAATAGCATGTATTTTGCTTATAATTTTAGATTGATCTAGTTTATATTGCTATTCTCTATTACTACCACCTACTCATACCTGTTTACAGTTGATATCTATTTGTGAAAAATTTTTACCGAGATTATTACTACTCAATGCTTATTTATCATTTTTATTACACCAATTAAGATTATCCTGATATAAGGTAGCGCAACATATTTGCTTGCAAATAATATCCTCAGATCATGTCGAAATATAATCTATTATGAATTGTTCAGCATTAGAATAAAACACTTTGCTAGAGCTTGCTATCCTATTTTATTTTCCATTCTCCTGACAGCTAATTGCATTTTTAAGCCTTATATTTTCATCTCTAAGTTCATTAACTTATTTTCGTAATGTATCTATTTATAATTGCATATTTAAAATCTTGTGAGTTAATGTAAGCTCAATTTGTAATTCAGTATTTTGTCGTCTCAAAGAATAACATTCAGAATTCATTATTGTATACACTTTAGAATAATTATTTTTTGCGTATTTTCAATATTAGAGCATTACCAAAGTAAGACATAATCTTTCTACTATATTGTTGGGAGATATATATGCTAAATTTTTTGCTGTCATGAAGAAAAATCTAGGTAATGATTTTGGTGACGCTCTCTGTAATACCCTTATATGCTTTTTTTAGAGTTTGAGGACACTTGATTATCTTTCTTTATATCTGTCACCTTGTTACTAAGATAACTAAGAAAATTGGACTTTTAGAAAAAATTTTTAATTTTCTTATGGTATATATATGATATATATATATATGGTTTATATATATACCTATAGGTAAAAAAAAAATTTTAATTTTCCTATGGTATATATATGATATATATGTATAGTATATATATGATATATTTGTATGGTTTATATATGTATATAGTATACCTATAGGTAAAAAAAAAATAAAAAAAAGTTAAGAAGTCCAATTTTATTAGTGACTCTTCGTGACAAAGTGACATTCATCTAGAAATCTTTTGATAGCTCTAAAAATATGAATTAGCTATATAGGGATGTTACAGAGAGCGTTACAAAGAGCGTCACTAAGAATTTTTTCTTTGTCTGATCATTAACAATGTTAACGGTTTTTGTCAAGAAAAGATAATAGGTTATAGTGTCACTACATTTCTGAGATGGGCTGTTGTCTCGGTAAAAAATTGTATTATAAGAATATGATCAGGCTGAAAGGCGTTTCTATTTATATTTAATCACCAACCAATTCTTGTGTTAAAGCTAATTCAGCTAACTTTTTCTGAGTGTAGTATTCCTTTGATCTATTTTTTTGCATGCGTATCGCAATAGTCATATTTGATCTTGTCAGCTCATCGCATTCTTTACAAAAAATCTGCCTAGAATTTCGGTTGACTTTACATCCCTTTGGGTGATAGCATTTTTGATTGCACACTATTCCAGTCCTAAGAATATATGGACAATTATATAATACCAGAATGTCACCTTTTTTCCACCTCCGATTTACATGTATTAATTAATAATGTCAGGAAATTAATTTCATTTTAAACTTTTTTCTTGCGAATAATATACCTTGAGTTTTGGTATAGCTATAAATTATTTTAAATAGCCTGAGAAAAAATGACACAATCTGAGCTTTCAGATTCCTCGACGCCTCCACCTCACTTTTCACCTAGAGGCTGAAAATGATAAAATGGAAGCTCAAGTAATTCTTTATTCTGGTAAAAAATACTTGTTGGGCTGTTTAACGCTAGATGATATAATTGCTGGAAATGATGAGAAATTAACTCCAATACTTGAGAATGCTTTATCTAAATGACAAGATATTCCATTTATGGCCATTGAGAATAAAGGATCAACAGAAAGGATAAATGAAATGTACCGCTATGTATTGCGTCTTTATGGTCGCCTTATTAACGGCCAAAAGGCACTGGTAACTCTTATAGACATTCAGGTTTTCTTTGACATTCTCGTACTAGACGAAGAGACTCCAGATAAATGCGAAGAAAAGGTGAGCGAAATTCTCTCTGGCATTGCGAAATCATATAAAATAGAACACATTAAAGCATTCCCTTTTTGGGGTTATCATTCTGAAAAAAGTCATATTTACGAATTTATACGAATGGTACTGGAGAGAGAAAGAAAGCCATCCAAGATATACAAGAAAATAATTTTGAAACTGCTTCAGATGATTTATACTCATTTCACCATAAGGTAGCCTGAGAGAATGGTATTTAACTTTCTGGATGGTCTACAATAAACAATTATATTTACAAGCAAGGCAAAGGGATCAGCCCACTTTGTCCGCACGAATTCTACATATCTATAAAAGATTTCTGTTCACTAGAAGATCTTACAACAATAAGTGACTGATTTTCGATTTCAGCTCTCTTACAAGATCATACTCTTGTTCTCACTTGGGATATAGACGCAATTACAAGAATTGGGTGAATTTGCTGAAGTCCTTGATCTGAATAATAATGTTTTTATGATTTCTATGATATTGCATTGGAAAAATGATCCAAAACCACTAAAGCAAATATGGGGCCTTTGCAATAGAAAGGGGGGAAACAGCTGGGAAAAATTAATTTTACTTTATATGCCAAATATGATTTTTATGCTGAAATATGTTCAAATTTAGCATTAACTCACTTTTGATTTTTTCAGCTGTTTCCCCCCTTTCTATTGCAAAAGCCCCATATGTCTTATCGATATTGAAATAGAACCAGATCTACACTGGATCACAATCATTTGCGGAAATCAAGTAAATCTACTAAAAGCTTTCACTCTCTGCTGGCGAGCATTTGCTCCTGATATTTATGTTGGGTTTAACGATTCAGACTATGATTGGTATTTTATTATGGAAAGAGCATATCATCTCAACATACTCGAATGGATGTAAGAGCGAATGACGGGAAAGTTCGAAACAAAGGAAGAAATTCTAAAGTGAAAATACCGTGGAAAGATAGGAGCGAAATCTGAAAATAATTTCCTGAAAAAGTATCCTATTAAGGCTCCTGAGAAAGGTGAAGAGGATCTTGAGGATAAAGAATATATGAGCAGTCTAATTAAGATCAAAATTAGTGCGGAAAATTATTTTATTTCTAGCTTCCTTAAACTGCTAGGTTGTATACCGATTGATGTCTGAGTGTGCCTTAAAAAACGTTTTTCTCATTCTGAAGTTAAAAAGGAAGGCTCACTTAAATTCTTCTTACAAAAATTCGGTCTTGACAATAAGGCCGATATGCCATACGATAAAATGTGGAAAATCTATTCAGAGGCGAAAAAAAGCCTCTCTTTGTCAACCGCGAGAAATATGCGTGAAGTAGCACAATACTGTATTATAGACATACTACACTATCAAGAGCTTTTGGTAAACCAAAGTATAATAAATAATTATAGAGAAGTTGCCTCCATAGCTTATGTTTCTCTTTTCGACACACATTATCACGCAAATGAAATAAAGGTACAGAACTTTCTCAGCGCATGTGCTATCAAACGAGATATGGTAATTAGTAGGATTCCACAATTCAATTTGATATTTGAATATTTGATTTGAAAATCAAATCAAATACAAATACAAATTTATATTTGATTCAATTCGATCAAATTCAAATCAAAGAATCATTTATTTGATCAAATCCAAATTAATCTTTATTTGATTTGATCAAATATTTGATTTGATTTGAATCAATAGTAAAACCATCTAGAGATGTATTAACTAAGAAAAACATAGTAAAAAACGCCTCTGTGGCTTCGGAAATGCTTTTTTTTATTAAGTAAAATATAGTAGAAAATGCTTTTTTTTACTAAGTAAAACATAGTGGAAATGCCTCCGCAGATTTAAAGACGTTTTTTTTATTAAGAAAACATAGTAAAAAAGCATTTCTGAAGCCACAGAGATGTTTTTTACTAAAAAAAACATAGTAAAAAACATTTTTACTTAGTAAAAAAAGTATTTCTGAATTTGCGAAGGCGTTTTCTACTATATTTTACTAGTAAAAAAAGCATTTTGAAGCCACAGAGGCGTTTTTTACAGTTTTACTTAGTAAAAAAAGACCTTTCCAAAGCTACGGAGGCGTTTTCTACTATGCTTTACTTAGTAAAAAAAGCATTTTCGAAGTTGCAGAGGTGTTTTTTACAGTTTTACTTAGTAAAAAAGCATTTCTAAATCCACGAAGGTATTTTCTACTATGTTTTACTTAGTAAAAAAAGCATTTTCGAAGCTGCGAAGGCATTTTTTTACAGGTTTACTTAGTAAAAAATGCATTTCCGAAGTTGCGGAAGCATTTTTTACTATATTTTTCTTAATAAAAATGCACCTGTTACTAAGCTTACTTTGCAAAAGCTATCTTTGAAATTTTTTAGTACAATTACTAATGATTTTCTTAATTAAAACTTTGGAATAACTTTATTTTAATATATCATTATAATAATTAAAAAAATTTTATATTTGATTTGATTTGATTCGATCAAATATTTGGTTTGATTTGATTTGATTTTGAGGAACTTTAATAATTAGTACAAGGGTTCCTGAAGACATAGAAAAAGAGAAATATCCTGATGCGTATGTATTTCCACCTAAAAAAGGTATCATGACAGAAAGACCTGTAACAGGTCTGAATTTTGTATCTTTATATCCTAGCATTATCATGACCTACAACCTCTCCTCAGAAAAAATCATATTGGATCGAGAAAAGGCTGATAATGTCTGTAAAAATAAAAATGAGCTTTATACAATTGAGTTTAAATTCAATAAGTATGACATTCAAGCTTGGTGCGTACGTCATGAAAATCAATTTGAGAGGAAAGAATTATATCCGGCAGTATTAGAGGATTTATCTATTAAGAGGCTGGAGCTTAAAGAACGTCTGGTCTCACTAGGAAAGAAAATGCAACATCTTGGGAAGATGATAAGTTCAGCTAAAGAAAGAGGCAAAGGATTCCAGAAAGCTTAAATTTAGAATACTCATCCATATGCTTCGATTATGATTATTGGATTCGAAGCAAAGCTTTGAAGGTATACATGAACACTTTTTATGGGAAAGCTGGAAACTCACTATCTCCAATCTTTCTTCGTGAATTAGCCTGTGAAACTACTATAGCGGGAAAATATAACCTTAATCTTGTTGTCAAATTCGTATCAAAGAAAGGGTTTGGGATAAAATATGGGGATACTGATTCTTTGTGTCTCACCTGCCCAGATAGGTATTACGAGAAATGCAATGAAGCCTTCTCTGGAAAAAACTTTCCAAAGAAGCGTACTGGACTAAAATGGTTAAAATTACTATGGATGTGATGAAAAAGTTACGTGATCAAGTAAACGCTTATCTTAGAATAAAAAGTGAGACGTCTTATCTAAAGATAGCATATGAAAAGGTATTATTTCCCGTTTGCTTTACTGGTAAAAAGAAGTACTTTAGGGTTGGCATGAAGATGTAATCAACTTTAAACTGAAAAATCTTTTCATGAAAGGGATAGATACCGTAAAGTAAGGTAAATCCCAGCTTCTCAAATTCATTGGAGAGAAGATAATGAAAGAGGCTATGGATATAAATAATACACGTCCAATTCACAAAATTGTTAAAGATACTCTTAGAGAAGCAGGAAACAAGAAATGGGTTTTCAATGAATTTATTGTGATAGGGACATGAAGGCCTAAGAAAAAAAATCTCTACAATAATCACTTTATGAAACGTATGAGAGAGAGAAATGAGAGGATTCCTGATCCTGGTGAACAGTTTAGCTATATCATTGTGAAGGATTCCTATCTTCGCGATAAGATAGGCAGGTTAATACCGTATAGAGTTAAGGATTATATGGAGTATCCATCAAATATAGCAAAAAAGCAAAACATGGAAATAGATATCAATTATTATTTAGGCACTACAGTTGCAATGTGTGCATGCTTTATCAATGAGGTACATTAGCTATCAACCACCTCCATCACATAAAATAATGCAGATCAAGGATCCAGACGTAAGAGAAAAGAAGATCAACAAATACTCCCAGAATGAGGCCGTAAGATAGCTTAAAAAATATATAAAAACTTTACAATAATCTTTCTGAGTACTCTTAGCGAGATGTGGTAATTACAGTTAAGAAACTTACAATATTATTTACATATTTTTTCTCGTGCAATAATACCAGCTAACTTCAATTCTTATCTTCGAACTTCCGGTCTAGGACGATCATTCCAAACTTCTGGCCTCTGATCATACAACTTGGCCTCAGAAATGCCTGGAGATGATTTGGGATGATCATTAGTATTTTCACAAATCTACATATTTTAAAGATAAGCTTTATACATGAAGTCGAAATGGATCATTTCGGATATCCGAAATGGTCGAAATGGTCGAAATCATTTCGACCATTGAAGG